CGGCGGCTGCCGCTAGGGGCGCCGGCCAGCCCGCAGTCCCTGCGCCGAGGTCCTGGGGGCTGGGACCGCCGGTCGAACCCCTGCGGCTTGCAAGCGCTGAGCTGCTGTTCTTCCTCAAGAAAAGACCAATGAAAGGTGTGGTTTTGACTCTAAAACAGTGCAAATCTCATCTAAACCTGCAGTTTGGTAAATAAAAAATAGAAAGTAGCACAGAACTAAAAAAAAAACAAAAAACATTGGCCATGGTAAATGACAATCTAGTTACAGAAAGCAGGCAGTGGTCACCACAGAGCTAATAAATGAAATGTAGAAACCCAGAATACCGTTTTACAAAAAGGGAGACAGGCAATTTATTGACTACAAATGCCTTCCTCATCTCTCTGTAGCTTAGAAACTATTAACCTTGGCAGGGAACAAGTGACTTACTGCAAATTGGATTCTACACACCGGCACGAGCAAGGTTTCAATCAAATGTCTGGGGATTAGTCAAACTCAATGAAAAACTGAGATTATACTAATATCATCTGTCATCATATTAGTTTTACCTTTAAAACGAATTCTCTGTTGCTGAATTGAAAGGAGAGAAGTTTAGACTTCCTCTATCTACCTGCAAGTTTGGAATGAACAAATAAATATTTCTATGTTGTACTTAAAAATGTTTTTAAATACATACATAACTTTGTCAGTACTAATAAGTAAGAGTTAATGTACAGTACTAGGGAACCAGCTACATCTCCCTAGGCGCCCATCCACCAAGGATGTGCCCCTTGTCCTGTCAGCCAGGCACAGACCTGGCCCTGGACACCACATGCGTTGGGGGCAGAGCGCTGGCACAGACTGGACTGCCTGAGTGTGAGCCAGGGCACCACTATGTGACCTCACTGCTCCGCCCTGCCTCCTCACCGACGCACGGCTATTTCCAAGACTTGTTCTGAGGATGAAATAGATAATACTGAAAATTGCTCAGAACCAGGTTGTCTTTAGGTTGGGTTCCCTAGAGGCAGAGCCTGAAGTGGGAATTCTTATAAATGTGATTTTTTGAGAGAGCAAGAGAGGGGCAGGGAAAGAAAGCTGAGTGAGTTTGTGGTCTCAGCTGAAAACAAGCTCCAGCCTGACCCCATGGGAAGCTCTGGAGCAGGAACTGTACTACCAGGTTGGCCCCATCTTGAGGCAGGGTGTTGGACTTTTGTGTTCTGTAGTCAGTCTATCATTGGCTACGTTTTAGAGGTTTAGGAAAAGGGAGGGACAGAAGGGGTAGCTGGCAATTCCATGGAGAAGAGGGTAGCTGTGAGCATTAACAATCAATACTCAGCAGGTAAGGGGATTTGAGCAGGGCACCACCAGCATCGACTACATGTGTCTGTGTGGCACATCGTGAGTGCTTGATAAATATCAGCTCTTTATTTTACCCTAGCAACTATTCTTTGAGTGTAGGACCCCTGTTAGGCCCTGTAAGTGTTCACAGGCCAGCTGGAAAGATAGGTGTACACTGGACTAAAAATGCAATGGGCAAAAAGGAGAAATTGGCTTTGGTACCCTCCTTTTCATATCTCCCTTTCTTTGAATGTCCTCTCTTTATCCAATTCAGGGGTCTTTGCTTACCAGCCCTCCCCAGGCAATACTCAATGTCCAGATCTAGATTTCAAAATTCTTTTTATCTATCCCTTTCAACACCTAACACAGATAGATGCGATAATGTCAATGGGTTAATCAATAAGCCAAACCAGTGGTTTTCAGCCTGCTTGAGTGAGTCATGAAATCAATAACATGCATCCCAACAACACATATTTTAAAAAATAGAAATAGAAGAGAACAAATAGAGAAAAAATAGAGTGCATCATAGTATTAAGTAAAGTTAATGGTAGGTATAATTTCTGTATGTATGTACATACATATCTGTATATATGTATTCTGTACATTGGTAAATACACATGTAAATATACACACACATTTACTCTGAAAAGAGGGGGTAGAAAATATATGGGGTTTTTTCTGGTTGCAGAGTAAATCTATTTCTTAAAATGGATCACAACCAAAAACATTATTTTGTGACTGGCCAAACTAAACCTGGCTGTGTTAATTTGTTAGTGTGCTCTTCCACTCAGATAATGTATAATCCCAAAGAGGTGATGATATAATTAGAAAAGGAAGCATGAAGTCTGAGGTAGCAATTTCAAGTAACTTTGTAGAACAAAAGGGTAAATATTTTGATTAGTTATGTCTTTTAGCATTCCTCATATTAATAAATGTGCTCTGTTAATAAGGTTTTTAAATGTATTACTAGTTCCAGTTCAGGGCTGTGTGCTGAGAATATAATAAATAAAAAGCATAGGCCACTTAGGAATTTGTAATTTCCCAAGGTTGCAGACACAGGAGATAATAAAGTGTGGTAAATGCTACAGTAGAAGCATGTGTCTGCTAGAATAGAACATGAATGGAAAACCTACTCTGTACAAGGCATCTTTCCTGGTTGGCCTGAGGGACAACTCCTGCCTGCCCTCAGGAACCTTACAACTTCACTTGGGAGATAAAATATATGCAAAGAAATAAAAATGAAATAACACAAAGATTTGTTTTTTGAAGGCAGAGAGGAGATTAAGAATTTTTTATTCAGTTTTTTAACTCCAGAAAGACAACTGAGCAGTGCGAATCTATGAGCCTAGTTTCACTTGGTAAAACAAGCGTAGGCCATGCATTAATGAGCTAGGGCCAGAGATGTGTAATTAAGCACACCTATTGGTCTTTAGACTGGCACACAGTAGACATTTATTAACTACTGAATGAATGAACACTAGCAAATATCTGATCAGTGATGAGTGGGTTCTCACTCACCATTCTTAGTAAGCAGCAAGAGTGGTAGTTAACAAGGATCCACACCTCATACTAGTTTTTTACCTAATCTAAGACAAATAAGCAGTAATTCAGACAGCAGATTTGGTTCATAGATGGCCATCTTCTCACTGCGTCCTTAGGCAGTGGAAAGGGTAAGCTAGCTCTCTGGAGTCTCTTTATAAAGGTGCTAATCCCATTCATGAGGCCTTAGGTCCTAATCACCTCCCAAAGGCCCCCACCTCCAAATACCATCACGTTGGGGATTAACTATCAACATATAAATTTTAAGGGAACACGTTTAGCCTACAGCATTCTGCCCTCAGCCCCCAAAATTTATGTCCTTCTCACATGCAAAACATATTCATTCCATCCCAAGAGCCCCAAAAGTCTTAATTGTTCCAGCATCAATTTTAAAGCCTAAGTCTGAAGTCTCATTTAAGTATCACCTAAATCAGACTCATGGGGAAGACCCAACATACAGTTCATCCTGAGACAAATTCCCCTCCAGCTGTAAACCTGTGAAACCAAACAATGGTGGGACAGGCATAGAATAGACATTCCTATTCTAAAAAGAAAGAAGAAAGAACTTGCCAGGTCCCAGATTAGCCCAAAACCTATTGGGGCAAATGACATTAAAACTTAAGGCTCAAGAACAATTCCCTTTGGCTCAATGCTCTGCTTTCCAGGCCCACTAGGATGACAGCATTATCCTAACTGCTCATAGGGTGGACCCACACCTGCTCTCTGCTACAACCCCCCTACCCACCCCTGCCCTCCATGCCACAGTTCTCCTGTGTCTGTGGCTACAGACATCTCTGCAGTTTGAAACCTAGGTAAAGGCAGCCATCCCCCTAAGGCCATGTACTCTGTGTGAGAGAGACACATGGGTTGGTTGCCTCCCTCCGGAGTGCCAACCAGAGGGGCGAGTGGGGGCGGGGGGATCGAGCTTGCAACTGAAGCAAGTGCCCTTGGCCAGAATTGAACCCTGGACCCTTCAGGCCACAGGCCAATGCTCTAACCACTGAGATAAATCGCCCTGGGCACTTAGCATTATGTTTCAAAGAAATTACTGAGGTTAATAAATTTAGTTACTAATATTAAAATCAAGTAAGCAAAAACAAAACCTCTAATCATAATCTCTTAAATCAACCCTTCAATAAATGCATCATAATAAATGATGAAAAATCAAGAGGTGATAATTACAAAAGCATAGACTGCAGAAAGATACACTTCCTCCAGAAAAGTAAGCTAACGATTTGTATAATAGGCCGTACTTTACTGTGTATACAGCAGTTCAACCAGAGTTCCTACATGATGACATTCAGAGACAATGGATATGTTGGAGGGGACAAACTCTGTTCCCCAAGGTAACTTCTCTGAACAAGTACCAACCAGAGAGACCAAAGAAGAAAATGACCTGAACATTTTCATAGCATCTAAAGAGTTACATACACTTG